GCATAGAGAGAAAAAGAAGACATGCCGCCTTAATTCAATGTCCTGCTATAGCTCACGGAAATAACGGAGAGTTACTGATTTGTAGCTGCCTCTGTTTAGTTGCACTTTCAACGACTCAGGTAGTTCGTTCCAAAGTCGCACAGCGTTGACGAAAAACAGTCTGGATGAGGTCAGTGAGGTATGTTTAGGGACAATAAGGCTGTTATGTCGGCGTGACACTGGTCGTATGAGCTTGTCACAAAGATATTTAGGGGAGTTCCACTCGAGCAACTTGTACACAAACATACAATTTCTTGCAGCAATATCATACTCTCTAATCCCGTAGACATGGCATGTAGCATTATTAAATGCTACCTCAATTTTATGCGATGACACCGAGTCTAGCTTGCTATATACGAGCTCGGAGTAAGTTATCAGTGGAACAATGAGCTGTATGGCCAAATTTCGTTTAATTTCTATTGGGGTAAATGACGCAGATATTTTTAAACTGCGTAAGGTAGCATAAACACTACTTACCACTTTGTTAATATGGTCGGAAGCACTTAACTTAGAGTTAACTACAAATCCTAAATTTTTAACTTCGTCAGTAAACTCCAAAGCACTGGCTCCAATACACAGTCTAGGAATATCTTCGACATTTACAGCATTACTACTTATTGGCAAAACATATGATTTAGGGCATTTAGAAGCAAACAGTTATCACGGGCTCACGTAGAAACAGCAGACAAGTCATAGTTTATTTTAAAACATAAATCTTCTACCAGACCAATACGGCTTGACAAGTACAATTGGATATCGTCGGCGTATGCATGCACATTCACAAAACGACACACAGAAAACACGTCATTAACAAAAAGACTAAACAACAGAGGGCCTAGGATAGATCCTTGTGGAGCACAAGAGGTAACAGCCCTACACTGAGAACAAGCGTTCTCTCCCTTTACTCTTTGAGTTCTTCCTTTTATATAGCTAGTCATAAGTTTCACAGCACTATCAGCAAAGCCATCAAGTCGTCTCAGTTTTTGAAAGAGAAGGTCATGATTTACCATGTCAAAGGCCTTGGAGAAATCTAAAAGGCAAAGAAGGGTTAAGTTTCCTTGGTCAACTTGTACTCTAATATCATCAAGTACTTTTAGCAACTGTGTTGGGGTCTAAAGCCCGACTGCCAGGGTGATAGTAATTCATTTCCCTGAACAAAAGCAGAAATCTGTGTCGCCATCAAGGACTCGCAGACCTAGAGAAGGCAGGCAATATACTTATTGGTCTGTAATCGCATGGATCTATTGCAATTGTTTTTTTTAGCTACAGGTAGAATAATCGCTCTTTTCCATGCAGAAGGAAACGAAGCACTTGTGAAACAAAAGTTTATGATGTGGGTAAGAGTGCTAATAATATATGGCAAGGTAATTTTTATGAATTTTAACGAGATTCCATCTTCTCCTATGGCGTTAGACTTAATTTTCATAATAGCTCTCAGCACATCTAATTCATTTACTCCTTCAAACTGGAACTCTTTTTCGGGACAAGATTGATTCAGAGTAGCATCCGTAAACAGAGGGAAGTCAAAAGCTTTACTGGTATTAACAAAGAAATCGTTTATTATATCGGGATCAATAATACAGTTTGATTTCATTTTCCCATGTACATTAAGTTTTTTAATGTAGCGCCATAGATCTTTGGATGGAGGCAACGGATTTAATTTAGTGTTGAGGTACAAACGCCTCGCCTGTCTAATGATATCAGTAGCTTCATTCCGGGCTACTTTGTATTGGCAAAGAACGTAGATAACAAGAAGGGACAACTCGTTATAATTGCGGCGAAAAGTGCGCAACAGGGGGTTGCCTTCTCTTTTGCCCTAGTGCGTTTTTTGATTGGATGAAAAGAGAAGGCACGCCCCTGTTGCGCACTTTTCGCCATAATTATAACGAGTTGTCCCTTCTTGTTATCTACGTTCTTTGGTATTGGCACCAATTGAAGTCGGTATTATTTCTTCTCCATTTAGCAAGCAGTTTGTTTCGCTTTCTTATTGTAGAGCGAACCTCCTTAGTATACCACTCGCAAGATGAGTTTACAGCACGAACAATACGTAGAGGAACATGAAGATCAAACAACGAAATCAAATTACTATTTAAAAATTCCAGTTTACTATCAACTGTCCGAAGACATCGCACATCATTCCAACACACATTAGACAAATCATAAAACAAAGCACTGGTATTTAAAGAGTTTAGATCACGATCCATAAAAGATACATTAACAGTTGGACGACAAAAAGCCAAATCTACTGAACAGAAAATTAAATCATGATCGGAGATAAATGTTATTTGTTCAAATTTCAAAATATGGGCCAAGTTGGAGGTGATAAAAAGGTCTAGCAGACTAGAGTTAGAATTAATGGCATACCTCGTCGGCATAGTATTATTAACTATCTACTACGTCAAATGTTGTCAAAATAATGAAAACGGGTTGTCATCTGGTGCCATTTGCGTTTGTTGTCATATATCACCACGCATGGTCATGTAAAATGACAGCCAAGTGAAAACGGCCCTCGCCGCTAATGTAGCAGCATTTCACAACATGGTTGCCACTCGCCAACATTTTTTTCTACCAAAATCTCTTAAGAAAAGTTACCAAAAGTTACCAAATCTTCACTACCAAAATCTTCACTTCTTCACTGAGTAAAAAATATAGTGAATAAAACTGCTATATTTCACAACAAATGTGTATATACTTACAGCCCGTTTCTGTGACTTAATAAATTCAATATTTTTATAATATAGGACTCCCAGTTTTAGCACAGAAGTTTAAATCTATTTTCTTGATAAATTATCAAGATTGAAAATGCTATTGACAATTATAATATTTTTTTTTTATTAGAAAATATTTTTCTTACAATTAATTGTTGCATGTGCCGTTTTCCTCATTTTCGTTGTTGCTGTTTCCGACAGGGTAGGAGTATGATGTAATGTGGAGCGATTTTCCATCATCCCTTGTCAAATTTGGTTTGGAGACAAACCGGTTTCGATGTTGTGCCAATTGCAGTGTCACATTTCGTTCGGAATGTGCCGATATTTGCGACTCACGGAATAATGGCACCGGCACACAAAAAAAAAGTTGCGGGTGCTTTTAACCGTCCGTTTGACTCGTACAAAATTTCGAGGAAATTGCGAAAATTGCAAATTTTTTTACTATTTTTTCGCTTTTCCATAATTTAGTGAACGTGTCAAACGGACCTCAGATTTGAATTCAGTGGGTCGAAATACATGTCGGTAGGTGGGTCTAGTAAAAAGCACGCGACATTTTTTTTTTGTGCCGGAATAATCAAAACGATTTATGGGCGTTACCGAAAATTCCCAGATGGCCACTATTAAAATGTGAGATGGTAGAACTCAAAATTTATCGCAAAATATCGAAAGTTGTTTTAGAAGTGCAGCCCTTGGTGCTGCCACTGGAATTGAAATATTTCCAGTATTCGAATATAAGATGACTCTAATTTTATCGAAGTAATTTTGTAGAAGTGTCAGTAGTGCTGCCACTGAAACTCGAAGGGCTTTTATAATTACGCACATGCAAAACATAATTCATTTCTTTCTAGTAATGCAAATAGATATTTAGTTGCAAAAGTTACCAAAATGAAATAAAAGTTACCATGTTACCAAACCGTTTAAAAGTTACCACTTTTGGTAGAAAGTTACCAATTCTGGCAACCATATTTCACAATCAAAATGCATTTGCCAACATGTTGATTTCGTTTGCCATGCGGTCAGCTGATTCTAGCTACAATACCGACCGTTTAGCTACAAAAAAAAAAAACAAAAATGTAGATCGATAGAACTTTTCACGTTGATTTCAACCATATCAAAATTATTTGGGGCAAGTAAAAAACAAAGAAAATATAACAGATTAAACTTCAACTTTCCTATTTTTTATGTGTTTAATATCTCGGAAACCAATTCCAAGGTAATTTGAATTTTTGACTTAAAAATATAAAAAAATCATAAAAATTATGTACATCAACTAAAAGATAAACTAATCATCTTTATTCTGGCATCATTAGTTTTTTAATCGGTTATGTAAATCATAAGATATTGATATTTCAATATATCGAAAAATTTTACTTAACCTCCTACATCTTCTTAATTTTTACATGCGCTAAAAAATTTTGGTAAGATTGAAATCAGCATGAAGAGTTCTATCCCGTTACATTTTTGGTTTGTCTATAGCTAAAGGGTCGGTATTCTACACTTTTTGTAAAAATTTAACTTCACATTTGACATCAGTAATGAAAACGGAATGTCAATCATTTGACACCGAAATTTGACGACGGTCTTTGACATGCACTGCGGTATCGACATTTGGTCAGTTTTTAAAATGTAATGAAAACGCATTTGACACCAAATGAACAGCTGCCAGATGAAGGCAGTTTTTGATGTCAGTGATTTTGACCTAATGAAAACCAGCCTTTAGTTTTTTAGGTTAATTTTAGTTCTGAAAACTTCTTTAAATATTCGTCTATAATGATGCATTAAAAAATAAATTATATTTTAAACCTAAACAGAGCCGACGTTACATGACGAAGCACTACGACTGGTCTAGCGCCCTAAAACGCTTCATAAATTTATTTTAACAATGCTTTCTATGTAATAAAACCTCATCTTTCGATTACGATGTCTTAAAACAATACTAAAAAGTACAATGATGGTGAAAAATTACAAATAAATTATTTTTGAAATTTCATGGTTAAAATGAAAAACGTTTGGAACATAGCACTATCAGATAGCCCGTACAAAAATCTATTGAAATTAGAATACCCATTTTTGTCTGCTTCCCAGCGAGTCGAAAACTAGCTTGTTTTGCACCACTAAGCGCGCCTGGGATATTTGGCGCAAACGCTCCATATTAGTGTACTTTAATATGTTTATAACTTAAATAATTAAAAATACTTAATTTCCAAATATCGAACTTGCATTAAAGTAAATTCACCTTTTTTTCTCTAACAGGTACTACATTTGCATGTGTTCGATTATGACCGATTCTCACGCGACGATTCCATCGGTGAAGTTTTCCTACCACTATGTCAGGTAATCGGATTTGTTCGCCTTATTATACATTGACTTATTGACTGCAGATACATATCATTGCACCTTTCAGTTATACATATAGAGTACTACATTATTATGTAGTTTACACGATGTAGGGAACAAAGGTGGCGCCGTCAGCGGTACCGCTACTTTGGTTTAGTCAATTTTGACAACTCTCAAGTAAAAGTAAACAACGCTTCAGAAGCTCTGAAATTCACAAAAATTACCGTTTTTTAACATTTTATTTATAAATTTTTATTGCAAATCATATATTTTTACAATCGAAAAATTAAATATTAAAAAAATTACTCCTTGACAGTTTATTTTATCCTCCTATTCGGCTTTGTTTACTTTTTCTTAAGAAAAATTATCGTGGCCAGGACGACGCAATCTTATATTCCATTATTATTGTGTAGTTTTTAGGAATTTCATAAGTAACACAGCACATACATATGTATGTATTATGCCTGAAACTAGCCATACACGACGCACTTGTGTTTACGATCGGTATGCGTTCGATCTTCAGAGGGTAATCATCTGTCACAAACAAGCGGATGACGTAATTGCATTTCTGTAGTTTATATATTACCTTATTTATATCTACGCCAGAAACGCATTAACAAAAACCCGATTTGACTCAGCACACATTTCTTTCAATCTTTTAAACCTCTGTCTGTCTTTATAGCGCACTCCATGAAACCCTATTCTAAAGTAAACAAAATCCGCTGTTTTTATTCGACATTTGTTTGATAATAAGTTTGTCAGAAAATGGGGGCAAACAATAATTGAAATTTATTACATACATATAATATTAATTCAAATAAAAAGCGGGCTGTATTAAGAAAATCATCCCTTTTTGACTGATGCGTTTACACGTGTTTTCTAACCGATGTGAGAAATAAAGAACCGATTTAAAAACAAATGCCAGAAAAAATCACTTTTGAATTTCAAAGCTTATTGAAATTTAATTTTTAATTTTAAAATGAATTTTTAGCAATAAATGACATATATATATGATCAATTGAATTGAAATACTAGAAAACATCTTATAGTCATTTAGTATTTTATTTAAATTTTATTACAATTGTTTCGATATCTCATAGACATCGTCATCAGACAGAGTCAGAATTTCAACTAAAACTAAAAAAAAATGTGATGTGAATGCGTCAAATGGAAGAAAAAAAATTCGTTGACCAATACATACATAAGCACAATACATATGTACATACATAAATACAACACTAGTTTACTTTAAAATCAAGAAGAGTGAATATAGAAGAGAAATGGACCTACGTCGCTATTTACATTGTTTTTCCTGTGTAAATAAATGGGCATAGATTCCAAAATGTTTAGGCAGTTGCGATTTAATTCAGAGGCGATTAATTTAAAATTATTTTTATTGCTTTTATGCTTTTCCAACAAAATATGTTCTGCCAGGCCACTTTTATATGGTTCGATATTTTTTATACTATTTAAATGTTCTTTTAATCTAATTTTTTAACACCGGCAAGTTTGACCTACATAAACACAATGACAAGAATCACAATTAGCTATATAGACACATGGTTTTTCAATACTAACACATTTATCTTTTGTAGAACACAACAATGATTTTAATTTCGTATTATATAGACACATGGTTTTTCAATACTAACACATTTATCTTTTGCAGAACACAACAATGATTTTAATTTCGTATTACTTTTTGGAGCTAACAAAATATTTTCTTTCTTTAAAACATGAAAAACAACTAAAATTATTGGAATTGTACAACATAGAACAACGGTTTATATCATTTTTCTTTTCAAAAAACGAAGATACAAGACGTTTTGATTTGCGTTTTGAATATTTATCAATTAATCGATCTATGGTTGACGTGGTGTAGCCATTAAGATTTGCGATACGAACGATTGTGTTTCATTCCGCAACGAACTTCTCTGTATTTTTTTTTACAATACGGGCAACTATTTTTTAAATATTTTCATTTTCGATACTTTTTTATAAAAACATGGCTAATTCTATAACAAAAACCCAAAATTCAGAGTTCCAAACCGTGTGCAAAATTAAAGAAAATTCGGCAAAATTTCATTCAAATATTGCACATTTTATTATTTTTTTTTTGTTGAAGGTGTCGCACATTTTTTCCATATAAAAAAATTATAAAACATTATTTTATATGGAGAAAATGAGCGACACCTCCAACAAAAAAAAATTGCTAAAAATCAATGGTAAGTCCTAGCTTCCTCATACTTGCACTTTATTATACTAAAATTGAATGGGCTTTTTTCTAGAGAGCGTAAATAAAAAGTGCAATATTTCAATGATCGTTTGCAGAATTTTCTTTAATTTTGCACAAGGTTTGGAACTTTGATTTTTTGGGTTTTTGTTGTATCGTTAACCATATTTTTATAAAAAATTATCGAAAAATAAAATACTTAAAAAATAGTTGCCCGTATTGTAAAAAATTCGCTGTACCTAAACTTTATTGACTGACTGTACATAGGAAAAACAATGTAAATCGCGACGTAGGTCCACATTTCTCTTCTCTATTCACTCTTCTTGATTTTAAAGTAAACTAGTGTTGTATTTATGTATGTAATATGTAGTGTCGGCCGCTGTGGTGTAATGGTAAGCAGTGCGCGCTTCCACTCCACAATGCCTGGGTTCAAGCCCAAGTCAAAGCAACATCAAAAATATATAGAAAACGGTTTTTTTTCTTAACAGCGGTCGTCCCTCGGCAGGCAATGGCAAACCTCCGAGTGTATTTCTGCCATGAAAAACAGCTTCTCATAAAAATACAATCGCCGTTCGGAGTCGGCGTAAAACTGTAGGTCCCTCCGCTTTGTGTGACAACATCAAGGCGCACGCCACAAATCGGAGGAGAAGCTCGGCCAAACACTAACATATGTGTAAGCGCCAATCTATTATTATATTATTAATATGTATTGTATTTATGTACGTATTGGTCAACGCATTTTCTTTCTTCCATTTGACGCATTCACATAACATTTTTTGTTTTAGTTTTAGTTGAAATTCTGACTCTGTCTGATGATGATGTCTATGAGACATCGAAACAATTGTAATAAAATTTGAATAAATTACTAAATGACTATAAGATTTTTTCTTGTATTTTAATTCAATTGATTATATTTATTGAAATTTGGTCTATGCATCCGTTTTGAATCACTGCGAATTCAGTCAAAGTACTTATGTATGTGTCGATATAAACACATTTTTCAATTTTATTTTTATAATTGTCACTTTTTGTTTTCCAAATGGCAGGTTCTTGTTTAATCAAGGCTTTTACCATGTTCTTCCGCGATATTTACAGAACTAAGATGCAAATTTTTTGGAGTAGCATCGATACATCGATGGTTTCCGATATTTTACAATGTGTTAGGCCGTAGTGAAATTAAGAGAAATTTCATCTTTTTCAATTCCAATCAATGCAGCCTTCTGTATTGTAGTTAGAGAAATGCATGTTTCCAATATTTACTTATACATATCGTCGTTTAAAGTGCAAAACCACGTATTGTGGTTCTGCAAAACCTCGCAATTGACATTTGTGCCAAAAATGAGATTTGGTCACCGGAAGCTCCTGGCATCAATACTCATCCATTCATACCAAAACATTGATATTTAGATAACAAAGGTAGAGATATTTAGAGATAAAAGAGAGCCGTTTTGTAATAACGTAGGTTTCTTCTTCTTATTTGGCGCTGTAACTGCCTAAGCGATTTTGGCCGAGTTCAACAAATTACGCCAGCCGTTTCTATTCTGTGCCAACTGACGCCAATTGGAAATGCCAAGTGAAGCGAAGTCTTTCTCCACTTGGTCTTTCCATCGCAGTATGGGCTTTCCTCTTCATTTGCTACCGCCCGCGGGTTCCGAGTTGAATACTTTCAGAGTTGGAGCGTCGGAGCCCATTCGAATGACATGACCAAGCCAGGGGAGCCGCTGTATTTTGATTCGCTGCTCTATGTCTATGACATTATAAAGCTCATACAGCTCATCATTCCATCATCTGCGGTACTCGCCATCGCCAGCGCGTAAAGGCCCGTAAATCTTCCGAAAAATCTCCATTCTTCTGCGCCATATACCAACACATATACCAACAATGATGAGGGACTTATAGAGTAGAGTGTGGTTTTCGTGCGTCGAGAGTGGACTTTACTCCTTAATTGCCAACTCAGTCCAAAGTAGCACTTGTTGACAAGAGGGATTCTGGGTTGAATTTCGATGCTGACATTATTATCGTTGTTAATGCTGGTTCCCAAATAAACGAAGTTCTATAATTTCGCGAAATTATAAATATCAACAGTGAGGTGGGTACCAAGGTGAGAATGCGCTGGCTGTTTGCTTGATGGCAGGAGATAATTGGTTTTGTCATCGTTTAGCACCAGACTCATTCGCTTTGCTTCCTTATCCCACTTTGAAAAGGCAGAACAGACTTTGTGGTTCTTTCTACCGATGATGTCGATGTCATCGGCGTACGCTCCTGTAAAAAAAAATTTCTGGGCGGTTAAGTTCTGCAGCTGTTATTGTCTTCTCCAGCATCAAATTAAAGAAATCACATGAAAGGGAGTCGACCTGTCTGAAACCCGGTGCTGGTCGTATTTCTCCACGTCATTTTACACAGCCGTATCAGTTACGAGGGGATGCCAAACTCAGACATCGCGGCATATAGGCAACTCCTTTTAGTGCTATCAAAAGCGGCTTTGAATTCGACAAATAGGTGGTGAGTGTCGACCCTTTTCTCGCGCGTCTTTACCACTATTTGGCGTATTGTGAATACCTGGTCCAAGGTGGATTTGTCAGTTCTAAAGCCGCACTGATAAAGCCTTAACAGTTCGTTCACGACGGGCTTCAGTCTTTCACACAATACGCTCGATAAGACTTTAAAACCTATGCTTAGTAGGCTGATCCCGCGGTAGTTGGCGCGAATGGCGGGGTCGTCTTTTTTTGTGGGTTGGGCAGAGCAAACTTAAATTCCAGCCGTC